TTACTTAGATAAGCTGTGCCCGCGACTTTGTCCGCATGGAATAGTGATTCACAACTCCTCTCCCCCTAGATCATAGCGTGATATTATGTAGCCTATATGTTAATTTTTAATTTTTTATAATGTAATATTTATCCAAAATTTTGAGTAAATTGATTCAGTACTTTTTGAGTTCAACCCGGACAGATACAGACAAACGGACAAAAATTCTAAAAACCATATTTTTGGCTTCGATATCGGAAGCGGATCACGCCCCAACCATTTTTTTAAAATAATTCAATGTACAGCTTTCACTTTCCTACGATTTTATTATATGAATATAGATATAGATTATAACTTTTTATTTATTTACCCTAATAAAATATGAATATAACGCGACAATTACTTCGAATGGCTTGTAAGTAATTATACCAAGCTGCTTAGCTTGCAAACTGAGATAATGACCCTCTTACGCCGGTTTATTGCAGGTACAATTGACTAAGAACGTTGTAAGCTGACTTAATCCCGAAAATGATTAGGTTTGTATATCTCAGTAGCAATATAATCTTATTATAAGAAGGTATATTAAAATTATTAGTAGTTTTATGTTTATACTGACTATTGCAGATGTAAGTCCAAAATACATGCTGATGAAACAAAATACTACCGGTAAAATAACGGAGGCAATAGACTGACCCAAAAGACTTCTAGATCCACCTGAGAGTTAAATGCCTTGTATTTAGCAGCTCTCCATGACATTTATTTGGTTATCTGAGCACGAGCTGTAGTCAATCATCATTTGTTGATTTGTCGCTTGCTTAAGTAATGACTTAAATCATATATTACACTTATACCTACATAAAATGTCCTGTAAAATCAAATGCACTTTAATATTTTAAATAATCAATATCAAAGTCATTAAAAACCATTTAAAATTATTATGTTTAAAAAATCTATTAAAGACATCTCACTAATTAAATAGACGACAGTAATGAAACATCAAGTACGTTCATACAATTTATTTTTAGCAACTAAGCCTACAAAAGTCAGGTAGTAGGAAGGTAGGTTTAGGAAGCTTTCGCGTTCCAAAAAAGATTAAAAGATATTCCATTTAGGATTTCGGTTACAATAGTATTAAGGTCGACGTCAGGAGCACGTATTATTACGGAACGAGTCTTTATACAAAAACTGTGAATAGATAGAACATGACCCGTCGAAATTTCATGTTATACAACAATTTATAGGGTTGTAGTCATCGTCTGACTACTTTTTTGGGTTTAGTTTGACCTCGTTGGCCGAGTGGTCGCAAGTGCGACTGCCAGACAAGGGATCTCGATTTCATAATTCCTAGGTCAGGCAAAGTAATACTGGGTTTCAAAAAAAATCTCAGTAGAGTCTGGAAATGTACCCGGTAAATGACAATAGGCTCACCCCCTATTACATGGGACTCATAACATAAATAGTGAAAAGTGGGTGCGACATTGTACAGTGGCAATAAGTGCCGTAATGTGTTCCACATCTGCCTACCCCTACGAGGATAAATGCCGTGATTATATATGTATTTGATCTCAAAATTTTAACTTCAATTCGGTAAAGGTTCAGTCGAAAATTATAATCTTGAAATGGCTAGTATCGCATTGCTAGTTTTAATTCATTGGAATAAAGAACGAGTCTGATGTCATTGTTATATTCACTGAAAATTTTCAAATAGACAACAGATTCAGGGCATCATGATCAATATTAGCGCTTGTTGTAACTTTAAGAGCATACCATACTGTTATACTTCATACAAATTCTATCCCGAAAGAGCTATACAAATATCTGAATGTTAAGGCTATTGTATCTAATTTCTGTTCAGTAAAACGTCAGACATCAAGCTCACGAAACTGGCATAATTCGAAAATAATTATAATAATTAAATATATACAGACACTCGCTACGTTTAAAGCACTCGTGAGGAAACATTACCTCACCACGGTGTAGTAAATTACTATTTCGTTTTCCCTGCCGACTCTTATCCGTCATGTGTATATATTTTATTTATTTACATATCCTTATGTATATATGTGTGTGTATGTATATGTATGCATGTATGTATGTATGTATGTATGTATGTTGGTATGTATGTATGTATGTATGTGTATGTATAGGTATGTGATGTAAGTACCTGAGTATGCCTAGAATCACCTCCACTATCATTCAGTGCTCCATTCACCCAAAGGTTGCCTGGTAGAGATCGCTTTTAGTGATAAGGCCGCCTTTGTGCCCTACTATTCTTGACTGTAACTCTACATATATGTTTATATTACTTTAAGGTGTACAATAAAGATTATTATTATTATTATTATTATTATTATATAATTAATAATAATTCTACAAAATTTTAAAATGTACTAGGTGATGTACGACTGCATGTTGATTCATACAATTTACATGCAAATGTACATCGCAGTCAAACAATAAACAGTTTTGTTATATTGTAAGATACTGAATGAAACGCTTATCTAGGAGAGAAAAATATATGTTGCTCATCAAAGACAGATGTAAACAGTATGGAATTAGGGCATTGCTGGCATTTTTATTTAATATGGTTTTAAGTTTATTTGAAACAAACATGAAAGAAGCTACAGATATAATTTATAGGAATCACAAAAATCTGTGTTTCTTGATATTTGGAACTCTTTTCTATGTTCATTTAATCTTTGGTTCTTAAACCCGCAAGAAAATATACAGTAACCGCGTATATAAATAGATGCTGAAATAGCATCAACTTCAATAATTAAATTTATCACACAGTTCACCATCCCAATTTTGCACTCAATGAGTGAAAATTTACAACCATTCAATTTGAAAGCAGTAAAAAAACACCCTATGAATTAAAAAACAGACACTCGCATTTCAGAGTCGCAAAAGAGGCTAAAAGAGAAACGTACCATTTTGATGCATCAAAGAGCACGAACGACAATGAAACGGAAGGAAAGCCTGAGAAAGAAACAAATGTTGCTGTCAGTCTGCGTAAAACCGAAAAAAATACAAGAAAAGGTCATAATGTAGGTGTTGACGGCACCGTAGGCGTTTAAAAATCAAAAGCTGCGGTCGAAGTGTACCTTAAAATGTTTTACTTAGAACGTGAGAAGGAAAATAGACTGGGTATTCTAGAATATTTTAAGGCATTTATTTTCACTAAGCGATTCTTAAACCGGTTTCTCTGTGAATTTACTTAAATACTGGAATTTTCAGAATATTTCTTTAATTTAGGGTCAAATGTTTGATGATCGGATTTTATTCTAATAATCTCAACATTTCAAACTACGATATCTTACCCACCTGTAAAGTGATATTATGAAAAATTATCTTTTGTATATATATTTGATGGGCCGACGACCTTAGACCACTATCTCATCTAGTGGTAAGCGATGATGCAGTCTACGATGGAGCACGTCGTCCCATAAGCAACCTATTCACTTGGGCCTTGAAGATACCCAAGTTATACCCTTCAGGAAATACGGACTCTGGAAAAGAATTCCACTCCTTAGCAGTACGCACAAGGTAGCTTGATGCGATGGTGCTTGTGAGTGGAATATCTACCATGAATCGGTGACGCTTTGCCGATTGTCTTGAGATACGATGTTGGAAAGGTCTACTTGAGATACGATGATGGAAAGAACTGCGCAAAACGCAGAAGCGCAAGTATACTCTTATAAAAAGATCAGGCAAAATGGTATCTACCATGTTGGTTTTGTTAAAAGAAAATGTCTTTTTCTTTAACAATTGTCGATTCTTTGTCCAGCAGTTATCGTCTATGGGTAAAGTGCTGAGCATATATTGCGTTGAAGACACAAAACTACCACCATACGCCTTTAAATGGTTGCACCGGAGCGCAAAATGGCGTGTCCTACCTATAAAACAACCGGTCAATTGACTTTAACGACTATTGCTGGACAATAAGCAATGCTATTGACAATTTTCATTTACTGTTCTTTTTATACGGTAACGCGAACGTTACTGCTATGTGCTATAAAGTTGATTCTTGCATGTCAGCGTTGCGTTCAGCTAAGTTTGGTCAAGGTCATATTTTTTAAATGGGCGATGTGATTAAAATTCTTTTCTTGTCGACGAATTATACAAAATATCATCCATGACTGCACATTATTAAACGAGGAGACCAATGAAACAAGATTTTATTTTAACTGCGTACAAATACATATATGTCTTCTACATTTTAAACAAATCCTGAATATAATTATCATTCATTACTATTTATAAAGCATTGCGTAGATTAATTCGTAGACACACTAGCAACGTATTATTATTGGCAGTCTGGTATCAAAACGTTCGTGATATTAATATTAATTTTCAGTCACAGCGCTATTATTCAATCATTTTAGCCAGCCTAACGTTTATTTTTCTAATATATTTTATTCCTAGTTTAGAACTTGGCGTACACGAGTTATGTAAGGTAAATATTATTCCTAAGTCGGTAGCCGAGAAAACGTGTGGCGAAAAAATCTAGTTACTAAACGAATACTGCCTCACCGAGGACCACGAGCCGTTATCGTTTCCAGTCACGTCCTGCCCAGGATACGCACAGAAAACAGCTTCTAGACTTTAATTTGTTTATACCCATGTAATCGATCATACTCCCTCCCAAATAAAACTTTATTAAAATAAACGAACAGATTAACAAAATACCTAAGAAACAGTAATTAGTGAGGAAGTCTGAAGTGTCCTGTCAAGGCAACGGACACAGCAGATTAATTTATTAGCCCTTTAATTGGTTACTGCAGAGTGGCAGTGCTAATTTTATTTCAAAATTTCAACGGTTAAAGTTCGTCCCAGCAGAGGGAAAAGACACTAAGCCAAAATATTTTATTAAAGGTGACAGTTAATATAGGGGGACGAAGAAAAGTTGATATATTAATTAACTCGTGAATAAGTCCGTCAGGGAGAAGAGTCACTCTATTTCACGCAAGCGCAGTGAGGATCCGTCAAGTTACGCCCTTACGTAGTGCGAACGCGGCATTCGTAGAGTGCACACGAATATCATCTAAGCGCCTAGCGGACGGCGCGACGTTTCATTAACCTACAAACGAAATAAAATGTAGTCATTGACGTAAATGTTGATGAGTAGAAAAGTTTTTGTGAACTTGTATTAATGATGAGCGAGGGTTTCCGAGTCGGTAGTAACTTTGTGAGTGTACTGCCAACTATTAAGGAATATCGAGAGTTTTTTTCTTTTAAAGGTTGTGTTTATATTTGTGGTTGTGAGCGATGTGTTTGATTGTAAAATTGGGATGTTTCTTCCGCATTACGGTGAGTGAAGTTACTTTAATACACGTGATCGTTTTATTAAGGAAATGTTGGTATGTTTTATTTTATTTACTGAACATTTTGTTGGGGTAGTTTGTGTTTTATTACTGAGTACGGAGCCGGTTTGTGTGATCAAACATGAGTGTTTTATGATACAAAATAAATCAATGAAATTGTAAATTGAATATAAATTAAATAATTCAAAGTAAGATCGCGTTTTGTGTGAAGAATTATAAACGTAAAAATTTAGTTCATTTTTATCATGCTTTTACGAAATTAGGATAGTAAATTAATGTGTTCTGGTATATTTTATTATCAATTACGTATATTATGTGCGACAACATAAAAAAAAAACTAATCCAATAATAAATTCTCAATAATCTATTCATGATGTATTTACATGAACAAATACATATATATAGAGGTATATATGTTCAGCAAAAACATATCTATAGTTTTAATCATAACTCACTTGCATCAAACATTTGCAAACTCAAAAATAAATAATATTCCCGTGAATATAACCTACATGGGGATTAATTTCACAGACATTGAATTCTGTATTTTATTAATAAAGACGAGGATTAATATGAAAGTGGACAGAGAGTCATTATTCTTAGCCATTTACGGGAACAATTTTTTTCAATTTCCTGATTAAGCTCAAGACAAAAGAGGGCCGATTTAATCAAAAAATGTAGAAGAATTCTTTTAACAATTCTTAGTGTGAAATTAGATACTTTGTAATTGATTCCCTTGACGTTCGATATTTAAACAAGTTAACGTTGTTTTGTTTTAAATACCTAAATAAACAATTTGGAAGTAATAGTACGCCGTTTGTGTTTTAAATGTTTTTTTTAAATGACTTTAAAAAAAGAAGAATGTTTTCAATTTGAGCTGCATGTATGTATGTGTGTGTGCTATTATCTCGTGATTGGTTGTACAGATTTTGATGCGGCTTTCAGAAAAAAAAAATTGTTAAATATACTTAGGAGAACGTTTAAATACAGTTATGTACCGACCTCAAAATAGCGGGTTTGAAATGGAGTTTTTTTTTTAAGTAAAATATTTAAGAATTATTTTATTGGTGACTATGTTGATGTAAGTCCTAGTTCTTAATTATTTAAAGAAAATGGGCACTGCACTATATAGTGCCTATATATTTTTCAATACTATGCTCATCAGAAAATACGAAAAAGATTTAGTACCTACATTTTCTTTCTGATTGAATTATGGTTTATAAATTCATTACTATATTTTTTTCATTTTTACCTACGTTGATTATAATTTTATATCTACTATTCAAACTAATGTGTCTTATTTTATTTAAATTCTTTTTTTTTCTTTATATTACACAGTATTATACGAACACTTCAATAACGGTTACACTGAACAAAGTTTTCTTCCTTTCCATAATATACTCGAAGGAATCCCCTGCGGTAAAAACAAGGGAAGAGCTGCTAATGCTTACAATGTCCGCATTTTAGCACATTTCGTTTTTTTCAGAACATTTCTATTGGATTTGATAAAGAGTAGATGGTATCTATAATATTGCATTGTTTAAAATTTGTATTTTAAAAACTATATTCGTTTGTTTAAATACTGTACCATACCAATAATATCAATGACTAAAATTTAAAAAAAAATTAAGAATTAATATATATTTATGACATAAAAATAAATTAATATTAATATAGAAAACATTAAAAAAAAGAAAGGGAAAGAAAAAACAATTGAAATAATTTTGGCTTAATGTTTTAGAAGGAAGAAATTTAAAATTAAAAGTCGACGTTTTATTTTTAACTTTGTAATACTGTATCATCCCTTGGTTATATAACTATGGCAAGAACGGTGCACATGATATACATTATTCTCATCATCGATCACGATATTTCCTATAGTATATTGATGAATGGACATTGGGCCATTCTGGTTTGAGATTTCAATATTAACTGTACAGGAACACACGGCCACGTATAATCTATACAAAACCAGTTTATCCTGGTGTCACGTCGCATCATCTTTCCGCACATTTAACGTTCAGTTTATAGTGGTTATGTAAAGCTCGATGTGTAGTCATGTATAGTACATATCGATAGACAGACGATTTAATATTGACTATCATTTCAGCCCAAAATTATCAAACAACTGCTTGATTTATAATTATTATGTTTCCAGCTTACTCATGTATCTGTTTGATGAGGAACTCGACTAATTTCAAGTCATGCTAGAGGCTCATATTAGGCTAGGCCAATAGCAGCGCGCCAGTCGCCACATGGCTTGAAACTATGTAATGTAATGACGAATTATGCTTGGTATTTACCTTTTTTTGACCTTTTTCTCAATTCTAATCTTATATCAAGTCTTCAAAATAATTATAAATATTGTGTAGTTACTTCTATTAGAAGATGAGTCTCGGCCAAAGTCTAGATTACTTCAATTAATTTATTTTGCTCGTTCCGTCAAATGTCAAGGATACATCGGAGACATAAGCGCTGGATCTCTAAATGTTAGATCTGTGTTTATTTTATTTATTCCAGAAGCTTATGATGCGACCTTGGCGTATAAGGGTTTATTTAAGTATAAAATTCAGCTCATGATCTAAATATCTCGCCATAAATATTCTATGAATCATTAAATCTAATATTTAACTATAAATAGGGGGTTATACCTCTGGGTACCTTTCAGGAAAATACAAGACGTCATGGTGCGCTACCTTTTAGCCTATATGCCTTTGATACACAGTATAATTATTACGTTTCATATGCTTTTTCGTGAATGTCGCAAATTTGTTTTTTGCGTAGATGTTTGCTATCTGCTTTGCTATTCAGAGTATATAAGGTGCGCCTTTATAATAATATACCTATGTACGCGGTTACCCTGTAGTGAAAAAATAAATAAAAAAACAACTCAAGTTATTACGTAAACCTACATAGCACATTATTACGTAGGTTTCTATTCATAATACGAAATATATTCACGTCAAATTGAATTTAAAAACTTTCTCTTTCACCAGCGGTATCTAATTTTAGTACAAAACAAAGTTCTAAATAAAGAATCGTGTAATATCTCATACAAAAATACATACCTACATTATTTATATTATGAAATTGTGTAGAGCAGACACTGAAGGTCAAATATATAAACCCTTTGCTAAATGCGACATACACAATTCTATCACTTGTTACTAATGACATTAATGACTACTTCGTCAGTCAATTGGCTTGCAAATACGTCAACTCGATGAAATGGGTCCAATATCGAATTGGGCAATGTACAACACTCAACTCGGTTGAATCGAAATGCTCAGAAGTAACGTGGACTTTAAATTGTGAATGCACAATTTTATACTTAATGTTCTTAGTGAAAAAATCCAAAGTTGAATAACGCAATAACAAGTCTGAATCACAGTTCGTGCACTACATGCATCCACAGTCAGAGATCCACCACAGACCAAAGTAACAGAGTTTCAGACCTCTGTCGATTACTTTGATCAAATTCAAAACTTAATTAATTCTCATCTGTGGCACTTATGACCACTCGTACAACGACCCTAGGAGGACCTAAATGCAAAGTAAAAACCGCTCTAAAATGTAAATGAAATATTTCATGTAAAACGGAGAACCCAATACCGTATTTGATATTCTGGTCGTACCCCTGACGTATGAAGTGAGATTTATCGGGATCTCATCTTGCCATTATCAAAGATTCAGGTTTGAGAGCGTTACCCTTCCAAATAAATGGGTCGTGTCTATTTACTTTCATTATCTCAAACTCATATTTCATTGAAACGGTCCCTATTACATCACAATGTTTGTACGCTGAACACATAACAGGGACGCGTTTTTACTGAATTTCGTATAAACACATAATATACGAACGTAGATATTTAAAACGTCCACACAAGGGTTAAAATCTTTTAAGAGAAAAATACACACTAAAGAATTTCAAACTCAAGTATTTGCTTTGCTCCATCCAACTGAATGCATTATATTCGCCAATTCTGAGTAATATCTACAAAGTACATACATTTTATTAGCTATTAGCGACCATGTATTATACATACGAATCTTCCTTAAGAATCACTCTATCTATTTAAAAAAACCGTCAAAACAAAAAAATCCGTTGCGTAGTTTTAAAGATCTAAGCATACATAGAAACAGACAGACGGGGATAGCGACATTGTTTTATACTATATATATTCAGCAGCTTTTCTCAGAATATTCACGTGAGTAATCCGCGATTTTTAGTTTGAACAAACTATATATTAATTAGTAAATAAAAAATTATAAATATAATATATACGTATAAGATACTTTGTGGAGTCAATAGATTATTGATTGCCAAGAATGCAATCGTAAATATCAAGCGGAAGGCGACCCTAAATAAAAATACCATGATGTGATGATATCATTGAACTCGTACGTTATAATAGATGATATCATTCTGTAATGAATAAAGACATGTTATGTCATCTCTTTGGTCTTCTTGTTCATTCTTTATTCTATCGTTTGTCTAGTTTAATAATATTAATAAGTTTAGGTTAACCATGAAATGATGACAATAGTTTCCATAGAATGTTTGTTATTTGATTAGATGGAGGTGTGTACTGCAGATTCTTTTCACTATATATAATAGGTACATACTACTATTTTATTAATTTCATAAGTAACATTCTAAATTCATTCATTCATTTATTAATTCATAATGATACTTATGACATTTACTAGATGTTTACAATATCATGGTGGAAATATGTAAATAGTTATGTTATATTGAAAAATAATCTGCAGTCATCTGTAATTGTATAAAATATTACATGCCATTCTGTAATTGTATAAAGATAACAGCTACTTAAAAATGTTTATGGTTATGTACCTATGTATTTAAGCATATTGTAGAGGTACTCATGTGTAGGTATATATTGTAATTATATTTATTTATGTATATCTCTTAAATATATTAGTTTATTTTTCATTTGTTAAATAAAATATTTGCTTGCCTCT